ACGAGAACCAACAACAAACTCAACCCACATGAGACGCCAGGTCCGGGAATCGAACCCGGGCCACAGTGGTGGGAGGCGAGTGCTCTCACCACTGCGCCATCCCTGCTCCCCAAAATTCTTGCTTATTCAATACCAAACCCTGATCTTTGAGTGGTATGGCATTGAGCCAGGATCTTGCACCTATGTCTCTGGCTTGCTGAGTGAGACGCAACAGCTCAGGGTCGAGGTATGCATCGTTACTCTCGATTTTGGACCTTGTGTTCTCTACCTTGAGTGACCGCAGGTCTTTCTTTAGTTCCTCTACCAACTGCTCATTCATATTCATGATTTCACTTTGAGATTTGATAGACAACATGTTGTCTGGTGAAAAGTTTTGACGCTGAGTGCTGTTGTGGGGCTTCTGTTGTCAAATCAGGTATTCCCAGGCCGCCTTGCACTGGTGTTAGTGTCACGAGTTCGCACAATTCATCTGGGAGTGGTTCTGCTTGACCGAATAGGATGGGGAGATACATCTCATCAATGTCCTGCTGTACAGGGTCTACGTATTCTTCGAAAGACTCGATAATTCGCATACAGTAAGTGAATTTAGATTTGTATCTCTTGATGAATACAATATAGGCTGCATGTGGTTGGGTTTTACCTATTTCTGCTAGTGTTAAGATTTCCCCTTCCCAACCTTGAACTTTCTCTGCGCAGTACCGATCTTTGTACTCCTTAGATCCTATAACAGCCCCTGGGTGCCTTTTCCCTTCCGTTGTGATATTGACTTCGTCACCTAAGACCCGTTTCAGTTGCTTTATCCGCTAATTCTTGTGACTTCACGATCAGCCAACTCTTTGATCCATTGACCAAGTAGCCATATTTCTTTCCATCCTTGCGCATATAAATCTTCTACTCTCCCTCCCCTTGCTGAGTCGTCAGCCAGCCAAACTCGTTTAACTGGTACATGCGATCTCAAACTGTGTCATGGTAGATGTGTTAACTGAACACCAGGGCATAGCTAGGGGGTCCCCCTGAGTAGTACCTTTCTGTGACAAAATCTCTCCACCACCGCAGACGAATAACCTTGAGGGGCTTCGATAGGTGTTGATTACATACTTAGACATTAATGGACAAATTATTTGGATGTTGTGCAAGGTTACTGCTCTGTTCATCAGGTTAAACGCGTTAGTCGCGTCGATAAGCAAAATTCCATCTGTTTCTTCCTCGTCAAAAACTTGGCTCATGGTATGTGTGGCAGCCTCGTCTCCCGCGCTGTGGCCTTATAGAGGGCCCGCAGCGGACTTGATTTCCTCCCGGCCTTTAAGAACAGTGCTGTGGTTTTGCCAATAATACGCCACAGCACTTCACCCACTCCTACTGGTCGAATTCCAGGGTTCTTATCTGGAGGGATGAGCCTACACGATGTGTAGACTTCTAGTAGGGACGGATGATAGCATGACTTCAGCAAGTTCCTGGTCATCACTGCAATTTCTTCTCTCAACAGCTTTTCCTCACCAGCGAAATTCTTAGAAAACAGAATTCTGCGGTATAACTCAGCGTCCATTCCTGACGGTCCAGCGGAGCCCTTGGTTTTCAGCGCTGCATCGTAGGTCTTTTGCTCGTTGATTAGGTCATAGATTTTGGGTGGAATTTGATCTATTGGGCCGTTCAGAAGGCATTCCTCTCGTACTTCACCAGCCGATGGATGTTTTCTTTTTCAGGTCCTCCAAAACTTCTCGTAAAGGCGTGACAAGTACAGTACTATTATCTCGATCCAGAAGTTTGATCGCTGCTGTTATTTTCCCTTGCATAACGAGTCTTGCAAAAGTCCTAGTTATGTCCTCAACTGATTTGGCTTTTCTTGAGAACACAAACTTTTCTTGTATAAATCGCACTCTTTTTTCATTAAGAGATTTAGGTCTCCCTGTTTCCAGAGAGCTAGTCTTCGTTCAATCGCTGCACTGTGTTCCTTACTCTTCGAAGTCCTTGATGGTTTCTGGAGGATCAGAGATAGAAGCAACATAAATGATTTTAGTGCGATCGAATTTAGCTCGAGATTGTAATTGAGCTGTTTTGGAGCCAGAAAGTCAATTCGTCTATAAACAACTTTCCCGCTCTGCCCGACGGAATGTTGAAAATGTTCTTTCTAAAATGATCAATCTCCTCGTAAATATTGTTGATATCATTTCTTAAGCTTTGGTAACTAATGTTGCCCCACTTTTTCTCCTTTATCTCGGATGGGCAAATGTTAAAAACTGGTAGATTTGGCTGGTTCTTGCTCGTCACGAATTCACTACTTTGTTTTGACTTCGGTGATCCCAGAGGAACAGATCACTCAACTCTCCTTTGCTCTGTTATGTAAATTTGAGTTACTTCACTTCTGCATAAGCCTATCCTCACTAACGACAAAATTGTTTATTTAGACAAATTTTCTGTGATCACCAGCGCTTCACAAGTGCGAACGGTTTGTCGCGACCTGACAAATTTTGTCCGAAGCGGACAAACTTTCAAACGCACCGCCGACAAAATTTGTCCCGGATAAAAATTTGCCAAAATCGACAAATTTGTTAAACTTGTCAATCATTGTCAGAAAAGCTATTACGGCCTGCCTGGTATTGGTAAGTGAACTGAGTTCAAATTACCTTCTGAGGCATTTCCTGCGAAACGCTGAAAACTGGATGCTTTAACAGTGAACGCGCAACGTAAAGATGAATCCCGGCAATTGTAATTTAAATCCAATGGCAAACTATGCAGGTCTGCCCTATGAGCAGACAAACTCTGTAGGACGCTGGAACGTTCCACCATACAACGATGAATTGAACAGCGTTCATGCAGCTGGGCCAAGCTACAGCAATGGTGTGTTTTTACAGGGTCATTGAAGTGGATCTCGAACCAAGACTGGTTTGGTCTTGGAAGTTTCCAAAAGTAGAGGTTGCGTCGACGTGCCCGGCGTCTCTTTCTTCTACAGTGTTCAACCATTACAAGGGCTGCTTGGTTTAGAAGAAATTGATGCCGTAAAAACAAGCACAATGATAAGCAGCGTTTCTTCTGCGATCTGGGCGAGATTTAGAAGCCCGAAACATGCGACTAGTAAAAGAATTTGAACGCGATCCATTATCCCGCCAAAATGTTCGATGTTTTCGCGCGCACAAAATTAAAAGTTTAAAAAATAATCATTGCTGTTAAGGTGTTGACAGAATTTGCCCGCTTTGAAAATTTGAATGCGGACACCGCAGACAAGACAAAAATTTGTCCTGATAAAATTTGTCCGTCGATTTTGTCGGAACAATTCTAGTTTTGTCCGCTAGAGCATGGACAAACACCACGGCCTTTCTTTCTAGCACATTTCGATTTGCAGTCACAAAATAAATTGATATTGGAGGAGTTTATCCGTCTGTCTGGTTGTGTTACTTCAGACATAAACACTTAGTGCTTCTACGTGAGATCATCGTACGACTCTGGTAATTCTTGGTTCTAGAGGAGAGTGAGTGGAACATCAACTGAAGTTTGATTAAATACTTCGTTTAGCCTTTGTTCTGGAGCTAACAGTACATGAATTGGAGCGACCAAGGTTTGTGGAGAGTTAACATCTATTAGTGTCCGTATCAGAAAGATTTCTCTCCAATATTGAAAGGAGGGTGCTAGAGAGTGGGTCTTACAAAGACCTAACCTGGTAGAGAAATATCATGAAATGTTGAAATATCATGACTAATTACTGTCTGTGTACGGTTTATTTTTAAAGAAATTTGACGAGTTTTGATGTTTATCTAAACGTCGACCATTGCAAACGTGCATTAGATGATTTCTCAGAAATCATTAGTAAGTGAGATTCGATAATGAAAACACCCACAATACCACTGTATCAAATTCACTTGCCTATTAATTATTAAAAAAATAACTACCTATTATAAAAAGAAACAAACTATCAACCTTCCTTACGAAAAAAGCGACTAGATTGTCCCTTAAAGAAAATTACTGAAACACCTTGTGCCTTAATAGTTAGGAATTTTTGTTGTCATTCTTATTTTAGCTGTAATCACTACAACATTGTCTAGTCGCTGCTGGGGTCTTTATTACGTTGGTCCTCCATCAGCATTTTCAGCTGAGCCCTTGCGCTCTCCAAAAATAGGTCCAGACCATGAAGGTACTTTTGACGAGCAGCTCTGTCAGCCTGTTGAAAGAACGGGCCGCAAATGTAAGAATTAAAGACCGTCCAACTTCTAGACAATTTTGAATATCTGTTAAGTATAATTTACATTGAAGCCAGTTTGCTGTCTTTTATACTTTTGCTTTTGTATGGGATGGACTGAGTGCAAAATGTGCTCCTGAACGAAGTATGCCACCGTTTGTAATCCCAGATATTCGAGCCATTGTTTTAAGTTCATCCCTTTCGTATGATGCACGATCCTTCGCAGTAGATAGCGCTATTTATGCAATAGCGAAAATCAGACCTGAAAAAAATCAGGCCTGTACGGGATTCGAACCACTGATCTCTGCGATACTAGTGCAGCGCTCTACCAATTGAGCTAACAAGCCAACTGGGAGCAGGCCGTTAAGTTGATTCGTAATAAACCCGTGATGATAAATCAGATACAATGAATATATGAAGTTCATATATTTTGAACTGCGGTATTAAATACGTATGATGCACGATCCTTCGCAGTAGATAGCGCTATTTATGCAATAGCGAAAATCAGACCTGAAAAAAATCAGGCCTGTACGGGATTCGAACCACTGATCTCTGCGATACTAGTGCAGCGCTCTACCAATTGAGCTAACAAGCCAACTGGGAGCAGGCCGTTAAGTTGATTCGTAATAAACCCGTGATGATAAATCAGATACAATGAATATATGAAGTTCATATATTTTGAACTGCGGTATTAAATACGTATGATGCACGATCCTTCGCAGTAGATAGCGCTATTTATGCAATAGCGAAAATCAGACCTGAAAAAAATCAGGCCTGTACGGGATTCGAACCACTGACCTCTGCGATACTAGTGCAGCGCTCTACCAATTGAGCTAACAAGCCAACTGGGAGCAGGCCGTTAAGTTGATTCGTAATAAACCCGTGATGATAAATCAGATACAATGAATATATGAAGTTCATATATTTTGAACTGCGGTATTAAATACGTATGATGCACGATCCTTCGCAGTAGATAGCGCTATTTATGCAATAGCGAAAATCAGACCTGAAAAAAATCAGGCCTGTACGGGATTCGAACCACTGACCTCTGCGATACTAGTGCAGCGCTCTACCAATTGAGCTAACAAGCCAACTGGGAGCAGGCCGTTAAGTTGATTCGTAATAAACCCGTGATGATAAATCAGATACAATGAATATATGAAGTTCATATATTTTGAACTGCGGTATTAAATACGTATGATGCACGATCCTTCGCAGTAGATAGCGCTATTTATGCAATAGCGAAAATCAGACCTGAAAAAAATCAGGCCTGTACGGGATTCGAACCACTGATCTCTGCGATACTAGTGCAGCGCTCTACCAATTGAGCTAACAAGCCAACTGGGAGCAGGCCGTTAAGTTGATTCGTAATAAACCCGTGATGATAAATCAGATACAATGAATATATGAAGTTCATATATTTTGAACTGCGGTATTAAATACGTATGATGCACGATCCTTCGCAGTAGATAGCGCTATTTATGCAATAGCGAAAATCAGACCTGAAAAAAATCAGGCCTGTACGGGATTCGAACCACTGACCTCTGCGATACTAGTGCAGCGCTCTACCAATTGAGCTAACAAGCCAACTGGGAGCAGGCCGTTAAGTTGATTCGTAATAAACTTAATACCGCAGTTCACAATATATGAACTTCGTATATTCACTGTATCTGTTTCATCCCTTTCAATATCTGTTCTTTGTTTTCTTGCTAAAATAGTTTTTCCTTTTCGCTTTGTAATCATTAAAATTATCTCTTCGTCCATTCATTCAATAATTTCCATTAGGAGCAAATATTTTACCTCTTGTTTAACTCGTGAGTATTCCAACATTTCTTTCTTTGTCTCCTCCTTTATTTCCTCAGCAAACTCCTTCCCTTTCTGCCTTTCCTCTTTCAGAGCCTCTTCCAAAACAACCTGCATTACAAATCCAAACAGAAACAACCTGAGAAACTGTTCAGGCCGCAAAAGAAAGGCTGGTGGAAAAGGAACGTTTAAAAAACCCCGTAAACAACCATAAAGTGGTCTACAACTGATCATCAAAATAGGTCTAAAATTTCTTCCAGTACTGGTGTTACGAGATGAGAATTCATAAAATGAATGGGTTGGAAAAAATCGCCCAGCAATCACGCTTAACATAAACTAAGCAACCTTGTTCGCACGTTTTCTCGCGCTTTCCGATGGTATGCACTTACAAACCTTCCCGCGTTTGAAGTTTGTCACGTGCATAGCCCCCTAGTTTAGTGATTCGTTCATTGCCCTTTTACATTGCTGTGATTGGTCAATGTGATTTTCTTGTCGCTTCTGTTGTTTAGAGTGTCGTCACACCTCGGTTTATATGAGCCTTGAAAATTTTAGCCCACGTTTTTTCAAGCTTATCATTCGCAATCCGTTTCAATCGTCGCAATCATTAGCCATCCCAGTTTGCGCCTTCGTGGTTTATCATAACCACTTCTGTGTTGTTTTATCGCACCGAATAAATACTGTCTAGTCTCCTTCAAGACGAGAGCAGTTTTGCGTATCGTTAAAACTGGCTTGAGTTGTAGTCAAATTTCTTTTAAACCTTGGACTGAGAATCCCTTTACTACCGTTACTTTGAATGGGATAAGAGGAGATGAACAAAAAAAATTATTTAAGCTACACATACTTTGTTGGCTTCTCTCTCTTCTTTCATAACATCCTCCACAAGTCTTTGTAGCCTGTGTCCTTCGCGGTCTGTTATTGTTTTGACGGCTTCCTGTGCATAAGGGAAGAAATCACAAAGCGCCGGAAAGATTGAGAGACCTACCAACAGTTGATCTGTACGTTAAAGTTATTTATAACATAACCAAAGTAAAGCGCGCGCTCTGATTGGTCAATTTAGCGTCCCCCATTTGCCCATGGGTGTACGCTGCTGACGTGAGCAAATGCAAAGACTATTTTTCCGCGCGCGCTTGTATTTTCTGGTCACGTAAGATTTGTTAAATAAAAGGGAACTCTTTAGCTACAATGTGTTAATGTTATGTTATAAAACAAATGGTAAACACCACAGCGTACACTATTGAGTTATGGATGCACTTGGGAGGTTTGCTAAGCACTCAAGAAGCTAGAGTCGCTCTCGGCTATCGCCTCGAGCGACTCTTACGCTTCTTTCGTGCTTAGCAACCTCCCGCGTGCATCCATAACTCAATAGTGTACGCTGTGGTGTTTACCATTTGTTATCTGTCAGAGGGATAGAAAAATGACAGAAAACACGCGATGCATCTTTCTACACGCATATTTACCCGAACCCAAACGAAAAAGCATGTTTCTTTCACATAGTGTCTTTCATGTCGCTCAGATTCAACTCAAACTGATCGTTTTGCAATAAGGTGTGCGCGTGGGACGCAATTACCCTAGAAAAAAAGCGTGTCATAAAATCACTAAGTTTTTCCAATCACTCACATGGGTTTCAATAAAAGCCGATTAACGGCGTCTACCACCGCCGAAAAGACCTCTAACTGGCCATTCAGCCGTCTTTTTAGCCTTTTTAACTGAGAAGTACACGTCAAATTTTTCCAAGGTCAGGGCATGACCTTTCACTGTATGAGAATATGGCAAAAGTAACTGTAGTAGCAGAAAAAAAGGTACTACTGTGATGAATTCGTCACATTTAAAAATTTCAGTTTGTGGGGAAGTTCAGATTCCTGCTGTCTTTCACGTGGCACAGTTAATTCTGCCCAAAATCATTAACGTACCTCATGTTCTGTAATGAATTCCTCATATTTTCTCCTCTCCTCTTTTCTCGCAGCTTCAACAGCTTCTGCGCACTGTTGTTTTGCATCCTGATGGTGAAGAAATATCAGAAGTGTAGCTTTCAAAAGTGCAACAACCATCAAAGGAGAAAGACTGAAGCAAAACCAATGCAATCATAACAGCCGATCACAGGGAAGGAAAAAAAAAACACAAGTAGCCAATGAATACTTGAAGTAAAATCAATCAAACTGACTAAGTGTGGGAAAAACGTGGGTGGTAAGTTGCAGTTGGTCGCATGTTTTAACTTGAATGGTCGAGAGGGTGGTAAAAAAAAGTTTTCTTAACCAATCGCTGAGCAAAGCAAAGCAAAAGTCTCAAGTTGTTTAGTTGCCAAATCTAATAAACTGCTTACTTACCTCAATAGCTTTGTCTAAGGCTTCTTTACTCTTTGATCGTTCTTGTTCAAGATAAGATTCGATCTCCTCCTACAGGGAAAAAAGAAACTGTTGAGGCCCGCGCTCAACGCCCTCATTGAACAGCTGTTTCTCACCCGACATCCGGGCATACATACTTAATAAAATCACTGCCCTTTTTTTCCCACGTGCATGTGGTTGAGCTAATTTGTATCTTTCCGAAACTGTTTAATCTCACATTTGTCCGCCTCCGGATCTTTTACCAAACGTCGATAATAGGTAGGCTTTGTTGTTTTATCTTAGCGTTTTTTTTTTTTGGTTTAGTTTCGCCTTGTTAGTTATTTTAGCCGGTTTGACGGTATGTTGGTAACTTTCGCAACCTTAGCGGCATTGTGATTTTAGCCGTTAACTGATTGTTCTCAGAATAAAACGGGGACTTCTACGAAGATTCTGACCCTCGTCACGTTCTTATCGACTTTGGGATAGGCTTCGCCAGGAACGGCTATTCAGAAACGGTTCAAAAGCTCAACATTTGTAAAAACTTTGTGCCTTTGTTTGCTTTCTTTTCTGTATGAACATATTTGTACCTTGTGCCTTTGTTTTTCTTCATCTAACAAAACACTTGCTTTTTGTTCATTCTGTTTCTTCTCCTCTTGTAAAGTTCTTTCAAAGCTCTCTCGCTACAAGGTAAAAGGTCAACTTCAATGTGTAAGTTTTTGAGACTCCTGCCATTGGAAATTGGAAATATTGTGTGGAAGGAGAAAAGTATCAACTGTGGCAAGCTTTCAAGTCTTTCAACAATTCTGAAAAGCTAGTTAATGTAAAACAATCTATCCAATCGTAGTACAGGCAATCACTGTTAACAATTTCAGGATGTAAAGAAATCGAATATTGAAGAAAGAAAATCTAAAATGATTTCTTTACCTGAACTTGGAGGAAGTCCTGAAATTTCTTTCTTTGATCTTCCAAAAGCTTTTCCATTTCATTCTTGTTGCATTCTTGTTGTTCCAAAACAGCTTTTCTGGATAATTCCTTCAAAGGAAAAGCATCAACTGTTATTAAACACTTTTAAAGGCAGGAAAGGAAAGGAAAAGCATGTAGTGGAGGAAGAGGCACTGGTTGCAGAAGGAGGAAGGAGATGAAGAATAAGCGAGAGGAAAAAGCATTATAGTACCTGTAATTTTCATCAGGCCAACTTTGACCAACTCTCTAAGCATAATCAGGAATACTATCATAACAGCTATTTTCCTAGGACTGTTAAGTTGTAGAACAGCTTACCTAATATACTTAAGGCTAGCCAGGATCTCTTGTGGTTTAGAGTCTATCTAAACGATCACTTCAGAGGTCTACTACAAACTTATAGCCTGCCATGATTAGTCAATTATTTTGCATATTCTTTTCTTTCTTAATCTATTATATTAGCCTATTGAGCCTAGGGGATACGTTACAATTCACCTCTCCTGTCGCGTCTCATTATTCTATATTTTTCTTATACTATGCTATTTTATGTATATAATTTCATATCTATATATTGTATTAACTTTATATATTTTTCTTATATTATATGCTATTTTATGTATATAATTTCTTGCGATGAATCACAATAAACTTAAACTAAAAAAGATGATAGGAAAAAGAGGATGAGAGAAAAGGAGTAGGAAAAAATGTTAATGATAGAAATTCAGATTCAGCAGTGCTACCTTGTATTCTTCCACAATTACAGCCAGGGTATCATGGCCAGCTTTTCTAATCTCTTTTACTTGATTTTCATGCTGTTCCTGTAGAATTACAGAGAAAACAGCAATTTTAAATTCAATTTTTCAATCCTATTGGTCACACACAAGCTTCTCAAAATTTCCCTAACCTGGAGATGTTCATATTTCTCAGTTTGTTTGGCAAGCATTTCAGTAAGATTCTGTGATTCTTCTTCAAGAGCTTTGTCCTTTTTTAGAAGTGCATCTAGGTCCTTTTGGCAAACATCAGAATAGAAGTTTAGTTATTAGTACTAGATAACAATCACTTTTGAATGACTGTGTACATGTACCTGGCATCATGTTGAATAGTCAGGCTACAAATAAATAATTAATAGAAATTAACCGACACATTTTAAATGACCCTGACTATGTTTTCTGCTTGGGGTGTCCAAAATTTAGTAATGGTTACTAGGAGTAGATAAAAAAATTCCTTACAGTGGGAGGGGGGGGGGTACAAATTTTGATTCAGAAAACACATCTTTTTTTAACTAGAGCCTATGTAAGCAAGGAAATTTTTCAAGACAGGTAAAGTTCAAATACTTCACTTTGATGAGTGACATTAGATCTTATTACTGCAGCAGAATTTTGGTGTCAGATTAGAGAGAAAAATAATGCACAGATCTGTTGGAGAGGAGGGTCTGGGCCCTCAGACCCTTCCCCTACATCTGTCACCATGTTTCTACTAACAATCCTTTCAAGGACTGCCCCCACTGGGTATGGTAATCATACCACATAATCAACTGTTCTCACGCTCAAGCCCTGTGGTAATTTACTCCCAAGTGGGTGTGTAAAGCTGAAATATAGAGTACATTCCACTCCCGCAACACTGCTTGTAACGATAGTGGTCCCAAAGACTAAAGAAAGACACTAAAGGCAATAGATAACAGGTTTTAATAGCCGCCTCACAACAACAACTTAAAGCACATGGTTTTCTGCGTGTCACGTGACACGAGACCACAGGCATACCATGACACTGCTATTTAAATACTGCTGAAAATTGAAGGACAATGTTAGATACCTTTTGTAACATTACTTTTTCTTGTTCAGAAATGGATAATTTTCCTTGAAGTCCATCCACCTTCCCCTCAAGTTCCTTGTTTGCTTTTTTTGCATCTTGAAGCTGCAGAGTAAGTTCCCTGTGAACACTGTCTGTTGGCTTTTCAAACAATGAACTTGGCTGTTGTTGTGCCATTACAACCTACGTATAAAAAGGAATTTGTTGGTATGTACATTATTCCTGTGTGTCCCCAATTAGTGCTATGCACTAGATTTTCTTGTGACACATAAATAAAGTTCACTACTACTACTACTATTTTTTATTAAAGTTTATTTTAAGCAGAATTCTTCTTGTCACTGAAAGGTGGAATTATTTAAGGAGATAAATATTTCATAGGGAGTGTGGAAAATGAGGGTTATATAGAGAGGAAACAGAAGGCAAGAGTATAAGTTTGGTTGAAATGGGATTTGAGGTAAAACTCGAGCATGTTAAGCAAAAGTGCAACCTTTTCTTTACATACCGATAGTATGTCTTGGGCTGATGACACTTCTTTATCTAAAGTATCAAATGCATTAGGACTGTTTTCTTGTGTTTCCTGATTTACAGCTGTGATGTTTGATGAAACAAATTTTGTATTTGTCACAGCTGAATTTTCACCATTTGTATAACTGGCTTGTGTCTGAAGTTTTTGACCTTGTTCTTTGCTAACATCCTCCCATGGATCTGAAATTGATTCCATTGGTTCAGTTAATGCTTCATTCAGAAAAGAAGAAAAATCTGCGTGGAAGCTGTCATATTCTGTCTTGTAGTCAGGCTTGTTTTCTTCTTCTTTCAAAGATTTTCCTGACGATGCAGATGTCTCTGGAGAGACATTTTGATTGTTTAAAAGGAATGAGCCAATAAAGTCTGCGTGGTCATTAACAGCTGGAGCATTAGGGATTGAAGAAGTTGGAATTTTGCCAGTTTCACTTGAAGTGTTGAATGACGGCACAGGATTAGGTGATGATGTTGCAGTTGTGCTGGGTGATGATAGTGGTGAGGCAACTGCAGCCCATGTGATTAGAGATCCAGGTGCACTACTTGCATTTGCAGCTGGTGTAGCAGACTGAAAGAGAAGTCAATATAATAAAAATACAATAGTCCACAACCAGCAGAACACTGATAAATGAATTACAAATAATTATTGTTCCAACTTGAAACTAACACAAGAATTCAATTATTCTAACCCTTAACTCTTTCATCAAACCCAACAACTATTTCCTAGTCAAAACCATTAAAACAGAAAAGATCATCCGGGACTGAAATATAAATCAAGTCTAAAAATGCGCTTGGTTGAATTATAGCGATCAGATGTCTACAAATTTGATCTGTAACATCGATCTAGAAAACGTAATGGGGAAAAAGGTCACCTCGAAACCTCCAAAGTCTGCCCAATCGTCGTCATCATTCTGAAAAAGAAATTTAAATATTAGTGAAAAAAAGAAAAACATTCTCAACGTCTACACTTACAGGTTACAATTCATACCCGATATTATCCATGCATTTCGATGACGAGTACAAAAGTTATACACGAAGTCCACAAAAATCTTCCCCTACAGTACCTCTTTATTTACAGCTGATGCACCAAAATCTGCCCATCTATTTCCATCCATCATAAGATCTTGTTGTCACCTCGCCATTAACCATAAAATTCAAAAGATCAAAACAAATTAGTATAGATTAGATTAATGCAAACAGGAACTGAAGTAGCAACACTTTTCGGCCAGGCGTTCTTAACTTCTCCCATGAGACATCGCTCTCTCGTGGTCATGTGATCAGATCGCTTTGGCGCCATTTTGAACGTGTTTAGCACAAACCATAATATTGATATGCATTTTAAAAACTGTATTTTAGTACCGTAAATTTCACCGGAGAAGTTCTTGTTTTACCGGATAGTTATTTATCTAGTAATTGAAGATTTTAATAGATTTTTGTATAAGAAGCTCTAGGTTTTTATAGATATTATTGGGAAGAAACCCGAAGTAACATCATGGCGCGAAAGCGAAGGTTAGCATCAGATGGGGACGAAGAAGTAGAAGTTAATCAAGAAACGCAAGGGGAATCACCTCAACCCAAGAAAAAACGAGTTTCCTCAGCTAGAAGTGTAGCACACGAGGGAAGTATGGAAAAAGATACTTTCAATTGTTCGCAAGCTCCAGATTTCCCAGTTACGGTAAGAATACATTGTTTACCCTATACCCTCGATCAGACAATAAACAACAACTTTTCACTGGTAAATAGGATACTGGCTGCGGCACTTCTTAAATAATAGGTGGACAAAACGGTGAGTGGAATATTAAAATTAACTCCGGTAATTCTGGTCCAAGATTATCAGATTTATAGCGATTACATTAAAGTGCATCTTTAATAATTAATTTATTAATATTAATTAAAGGTGCAGTGGAAATCAGGGATGTATTAAAAAGTTATTGAGACTGATTATGAGCACAGCGGCTGAAACTTATTTTTCTGACATGTATTTGTTCTAAAGGTAACATCATTAATTTTAAGGAATTATCTTCACAACAAGTCCTTTTCCATTTTGTTATGGAAAAATTTTTAACTTACCAAGATTCCTTTGAAAAAAGTAGAGGAATACTTATAGTGTTTCTTCCCATTAGGGGTGATAAAGAATTTTCAAATGATAAGCACCTCTTGAATAAAATGCCCACATGACCGTTAATATCAAGTACTAATTAGGTTCTGTGAATATTCATTTTAAAACTTTGCAGTCAGAGGCTGAAGTTGGATTTATTGAGAAGGTGACTTTGGTGAACTTCATGTGCCACACTATGCTAGAAGTGCCTCTTGGACCAAATGTTAACTTTATCATTGGAAGAAATGGAAGTAAGTTTGTTTGGAACAAAACTAATTTTTTCCAAGTCATGTCAAGTATTACTGCAGCATGAAAATTAACTTTGACGGTAGCAAAACAAATTACTGATTGATAGATTTGGTGGTGGTGTGAATTTATCACAACCAACCAGCAACAAGTTGACCTGTTACAGTGTCCTCCCAATATTTTTAGCATGACATATAAAAAGAATTTTCAACATGATGAAGTAGTCTTTGACTTGTTGACTTTTGAACAATCCAAAGCGATTTTAGGTGACGATGAGATGTACTTCAGGAGGTAAATTTGCCAGTAACTGCTTGAAAAGGAGGACACTGCAGTTATTTCCAATTAATTTTAAACCCAAAAAAAGAAGAATGTTACTTTGATAAAATTACTTGTGATGAGTGCCTGAAAAAAGGAAGAAGAGACAAAGTTGTGGATGAATACAAATTTGTTATTGCTTAGAACATGCATTGGTTATTTAAATTTTACAGCCATTCTTTAGTCTGTTGATTACATGTAGATTCACATCATATTAGAGAAAAAATTGGTTAACTTTCAAGTAGTTCAGAAGAGAGGTGAGGGTTGGATTTTGATTTTCCTTGATCTATTTTCAAGGTGGAAAGAGTGCCATTATGACAGCATTAGTGGTAGGATTAGGTGGAAAGGCCACCACTACCAACAGAGGAAATTCTCTCAAGGGATTCATAAAAGATAAGTGCAGGTGAGAAATTTCTTGACTTTTAGCGTAAACAGAGTAATCAGGCTTGGCATGAGCAAAGCTTCACCCAGTTTCTGTGAAATTTCTGCATGCCTTTGGAAACTTTGGCATTCCTTGCTATCTTCTACTTTATAGTTTTATATGATAATTGACAAAGGTATATGACTTAGTTAGAGTAATGTTTATCTAAGGATTGAGGACTTGGGAGTTGCTAGAGAGGATAATGGAGCCAAGAACTCCAACTGGGTGCAAGTAGTAACCATGACAAATTTGTGAGTGGCATCCATCCAGGCATCATTGCATTTCTAACCAGAGGATGACTGTACTGTATGTTCTTACCCAATACTTGCCATAATGGCTAGGAGGGGATCATAGTTGCAATTTCAACAAGTATGTGACCTCAACAGCTCCTGTGTAGACATGGGGCTGTCCAGCATGGTCTCTAGTCTAACTTAGCTTAAAGGCCCATTTTCATCCGAGATCCTTTGCAGTCGTTTGTTTTTGTTTTGGAATCACGCTATTGTTAAATGGCAAACTCTGATAGTCATTCACAAACACTATTAAAAAGAAAAACAAAGATTTGGTGAAGAACACAGTAAAGAAATTTGCAGCTAAATAGTTGAGACTGAAAAATCATAAATCGAGTCTGTGTATAAAACTTGTACAAAGCTTACTTGATGTTGAAGGAGATTGTTCGGCTTCAACACTAAATAAAATATAAACAAATAACCAATATCGGCCAAAACTGATTTACTTTATGCATTTCAATTATAGAATAACGACTTGTACAAATGAGATCGCTTACATACATATCTCAGGATCTCAAGTAAAAATCAATCAAATAATTATTCTCACCTCGAAAAAATCTCCCCGGAGTCTCTAGTTCCATCGTAGGAACAATGCAATAACATTTCCGCAAAAGCACTGTCTGTAGTGTTACCGAAACCCATTGTTGTTTTCCTTGCCCTCCATAAATCATACACAGACTCTCGAAGTCGAATAACCTTTGCCGAGCCGGGCAGACCCGGCCTTCCTCTAGACCACTTCTTCAGCAGCATCAACTTTTCAAATGACGTTTTTCACCGTCGTACATGTAAGAATTAAAAACTATTTACTGATATGGTTACTACGATAGTTTGTTGTTCACACATGATTCAAGATGGAACTTTGAAAGCCCTAATTAGTAAGATGGAAGAAGATATCAAGGCGATTCTGCAACTTCAAGGAAAATAGCGTATTTTTCATATATGAAAAATGATCTGGGCGTGCAAGGCATCTCGGTTGAAAATGGGCCTTTAAGTGATATTTAACTATGTTAAGAAATTAAGTTATTGATCAATGTTATCTTAAGTTAATTTTTTGTGTCTCAGTTATGCTCAAGTCTCAATTAAGCTACGAAACAGAGGACAGGATGCATACAAACCAGACGAATATGGAGAGTCTATAACAGTGGAAAGAAGAATCAGTAGTGATGGGAGTGGATCTTATAAGCTCAAATCACATGATGGTACATACATAAGTTATTATCAGACACACTTTTACTTTCATAAACAGAGGGTGGGAAATATCTCCAATATTCCTTTGCTTCAGGAAAAGTAATATACATACATAAATTGTTATCAGACACACTTGATTTCATAAACAGAGGATGGGAAATATCTTCAATATTCCTTTGCTTCAGGAAATGTAATATACATACATAAATTGTTATCAGACACACTTGATTTCATAAACAGAGGATGGGAAATATCTTCAATATTCCTTTGTTTCAGGTAAAGTAATATCACAGAAAAAGGATGAACTGAATCACATTCTGGACCAATTCAACATTCAGGTAAACTGGAGTTACAACTCTACGTAACTATTTGACCTCTAAGAGTGATTAGTATGTAATTTCTCATTACAATATGACCCCTGAATCAAACATTAAGATCAGGAGAATAAAGGAAACAATCATCAACTCAAGAAGCTCTTGATTGTTAGACAAATTCTCCTCATCAGCGCCTGAGGAAATGTATAGAGAGAACAGTTTGGAGAATACGCTGATTTTAGGTTGTGAAGGGTTAAAGAATATACAGTTTGGTGAGGACATTGGTCACTGATTTTGATGATGATAATTTTGAATTGTGTCCCAGGTAGATAACCCAGTATCAGTGTTGAATCAAGACACTAGTAGAAATTTTCTCAACTCTTCAGATCCTAAAGACAAATACAAGGTACATGTTTTTTGTACTTAATGTCATATAACTGTAGATTGTAATAAATTATTATTGCAATTGATCTGACTTGAAAAGAGGATAGCTTTCAGAGAATCTTGTGTCAATTTTTGTTGGGGTTACTTTTGTCAGTGATTAATAGAAAGAGAAGACATATGAATTTGTAGCCTGGTATTCAACTTTTCTTTCCTTGTTTGTTAGTTTTTCCTTAAAGCCACGCAATTGGAGCAGATGAGCACAGATTATCAGCTGATTATTGAACAGCAGGATATTATCAAAAATACTTTGGACAGGAAACAAGAGGTACATAGGCACCACTTGGTTATAAATACATCTAAATACCTTTCAAGATCAGTGCTAGGAAAGAAAAATCATGTCATTTTAACTCATTGCAGACCCTCCCAGCTATGCAGCATCAAGTGCAGGAACTAGAAGAAAAATACAAAGATATTGCACAATTGAAAAATATGAAGGAGCAGGTAGAAGATCTAAAGAAGGAGCGAGTGTGGGCAGAAGTTTTTGAAACAGAAAAGGTATATTGTTTGCAAAATTACTTGATTAGATATTGCTAAAATTTAAAGAACAGATCCCTACTATATCAGTGCATCATTATTAGTGCAACCCTCTGAAGCCCTGCTCTATGTACACTATAGCTATTGTGCTCCCTTTTATAATCTCATCCTTCTGTTGAAACAACTCAAAAACTTCTAGAAGTGGTTTACATTACAGTTCCCAAATTTGTTTGTTTTGCATGTATGTATGCATGCCTGTTAGCAAGTATATGTGGTCCTTAAAATGTGGTGTGCAACATGCATTCTTCTCTGTGTGCATACATGTGCAGGGTTCTTGTCAGAATTTTGTACAGCTGTTGCTCTGCTATTTTCCTGAGTAACACTAAAGTACATGGCCTAATGTCATGAATCTTGGGCCATAAGCCTTTCGCTTTGAAGCAGCCATGTTTTAGCATGTTGGAAGATGACATCTGCAAGAGGTCAGGCCTAGAATTTACTACCGTAATTTCCGGCCGTTTACCTGCATGGCCGATTATTGCATGTGGCAAAAAAAAAAAAGTCAACAGATTACCTGCACTAGTGGATAACCTGCACCTTAAAAGCAAAGAAAATTTGTACAAAAAGGCTCTCAATGTTTCATACTCTACAGAATGCGAATTCATGGCCACATTTTGTGCGAGGGATCATTCAACGCCATGTTAAATTGTTGATTTCTAAAATTTACACACATGCCAATAAAAATCTATTCGTCGTGCAACTAATTGTGCGTGAAATAAACTCGAGTCAGCATCATGTTTTCATGCTGCTTTGTGGCACTCTTAATACAGTAAAATTCATTTTAGACGTGGAAATGCAGGTAGGTGAAATTTTTTTCAATTCAATTTTCAGTAGATTTCAAAATTGTCACATAACCAGCACCTCCCTACTGCTTGCAGTGGCGCATGTTTAGGGCAAAATCAACAGATTACCTGTGGGTAAATGGCCGGAAATTACGGTACTTCAATATGGCGGCCATGCTTCAACATTGCAGACACAAGTGTGAAGTATAGTGATTGTTTGTTCATATTGAGGTCTGCTGAGTGGCTATTCATTTCCAAAACTAAAACCAACAACAGCCAATCCTAAACTCAGTTACCTCCTCAAAAAGTCATTCTTTTATGTGTATTTAATAGACAAATTGATCTTCTGGTTGGCTGTAACACTTGCGAGTGACACCCATGACAGGTGTTGTGGGTTATGAGTTCAGTTGAGAACCCCAGTGTTCCCAATGATGAGATCATCCTTGCGCACTCAGGACTAGCATTGTGCTCATGTGCATTTGTTAGTGTGCCGACGACTAAGGGACCCACTTAGCTGCAGTGTCAGTTGGGTGGGCTGAGGGAACAAGAACAGCAGTTTACAGCAATATGACAAGACTAGTGAAGACCTGTGTTTAAATGTGCTTTCTTGTTGTACTATAGCTACTTGCTCCACTAGCAAGAGAAGAAGAAAGTCAGAAGTCAAGGCTGCCAAAATATGAAGAAAAAGTTGCAACTTGCCAGGTATAATGCATGTAAATCGTTTCACATTCCTTTGATATGCAGGTGAAATAGATAATCCTCTTCTTGAATGTTTAAGTTTTAATAATCAACAAACAACTTCTGGAGAATGTTTTTCTGCCTTTCTTCCCATAAATTAGTTGTTTCTTGGGACTGACAACAATGATCAGGCATGAGGTGTCTTTTTCTTGAACCTTTTATTTCTGAAGTAGCTGTTTGAAATCTTTATTAACATTATTACAATTTGTGGATTATTTCATTAAAGGAAGAAATAAAGAACTTCGAAGATCAGTGGGCTGAAGTCAATCAGCAGTTCAATGCCATCACTCAAGAGGCTAAACAATTGAATGGAGAACAAGCTGCCATATGCAATGAACTTAAACAAAAGAAAAATCTTTACAGAGAAAAACAGGTGTGCTTGCATTGTCAATGTTTTTTTTTTTTATTAAGGTATTACACATTCCCTTTTTGCCTTGTTTAGATTTAGACTGTCACAACTGGATAGATCACCACTGAACATTCAAAAATTGAAACTCAGAAAGTGACAAGATAACAATGACAAGATCTTGAGAGTTGTCTCAATCCTGGAAATCCCACTTTCATTACTCAAAAATAAACAAATCCTGGCTTTCATATATATTTTGAAGGCTTGAATGTGCATTTATTTCAGTCTAGACTACGAAAATTGAAGCAAGAAAAGAAGACTTCAGAGAATGATCAAAAGCAGTTGATGGAGAAAATTGACGAAATCAGACAAACGTAAGTGTTTAGGGAGTTTCCAAGTTGGGGCTGTGTTGTAAGATCATTTGAATGCTACTCTAGTCCCTAACTTTTTTTTTTTAAGTAACCTGCTCAACTCTGCACTTATCAGAGATTTTCAAGAGCTGTACACCTTAAACATCCAAGACAAGAACCTTCAGCCACACAGTTATGCTTCAAATAGCACAACTTTGTAGTTTATTTTAAGGCAATCCCAAAGTTCTAACTGCGTGCAGATGATACACACAAGTTTTGTTTAATTTGTGATTTCGTTTTTGTAGAGCTATGCGTGATCTTGAATCAGAGAGGAGGCAACGACAAGATGCTCTTCAGCACAAAAGAGATGAGTTCAAAGCACTGGAAAGCCAGTTGTCAATGACAAATCATCACAGAGGACAGCTAGAACAAGCAATCAGCAGAGCAAAAGAAAAAACTTACCAGCTGAGGTAGGGTAGCAAGTAACTTTTTGTATCCAGAAGAGGTTCATTGTTATGGATAAGGTTAAAAATCAAGGTTGAAATTGCGAAACTGTAACTGAACCGCATAGGTAGATTTTGAAAAGCTAAATGTAATTTTAAGTCAGGTAGTTTTTCTTATTATGAAAGGATAATTGCCTTAGCTCAGTAACAATACATTTTAAGTGCAAGGCCCTGTATTCAAGATGTAGTATTTTTTAGCAAAAAGGAAATATTTCCATTACTTTCTATCACAGGCTACCATCTCTCTGATATGGAAAATTTTTTATGGAATTTTATGAATTTTTTATATGGAATAATTCTTTATGTTTTGTGGGAATCAACTTCTGCAGTAGTGAAATTCCTGAGAATTATGCAGGGAATTAATACTTGCAGTTTTCTGGAGGAAAAAGTATAAATTTAACATTCACTGCTTGTTGAGTTACAACACTTACTACAATCAGAAAATCCACAAAACAGTTTCTTGTTTCCCCTTTGCTTTTTGGTGAGTATTTAGAATAAATCTCTCCTTCCATTCTTTCTCTACAGGACAGATGTGAATGATGCAACTCACAGAGCTGATGCAATTCAGAGACAATTGAGAGATCTTCAAGGAAGCCGTAACAACAAACTCAAACTATTTGGGTCTTGGGTACCTGATCTTCTCCAAAGAGTGGAGCAGGCTGAACGGAGAGGAAATTTCCATCAAAAACCTGTTGGCCCCATTGGTAACACACTGTTTCTTTCTTTCTTTCTTTTTTCTTTCATTTTTTTTTTTTTTTTTTATCAAAAAAGGCATCTTCCTTTTTGTCATCTAAAATAGATTTAGATTTTTGTTTTCCAGTGTGATTTTAATTTTTCATCTAATGCTTTGAAATTCCTTAAAAGATGTCTCATATCTACATTGTAGTTTATACTGTAGTTATGAGAGTTCCAATCTCTGCTTGAACTAAATCCAAATTCAAGAAATCAGAATATTTGCTGATCAAGCAATACAGGTAGTTTCAAGTTTCCCTTAACCAAGGGATTTTAGAATTGTTTTCTTCTGACTCTGTTGTAATTAAGTGAAAACCAGCTATAAGTACTTCTACTCACTCTAACCATATAGTATAAGATATTAATTTAAGTTTTTGTAATTTAAGGTGCTCATCTAACCTTAAAGGATCAAAAGTGGGCTTTAGCAGTAGAGTCGTGCATCAAGAAGTTTGGCTGGGCATTCTGTTGTCATGATGGTCACGACCAGCAAGTTCTCAAGCAGCTTTTCCAACAAGTCTGTGCAAAAGATAACATCCCCACCATAATTATCAGCAAGTTTCAGGTTTGTCTAAGAAAGTTATTTTGTCTTTTGACTCATTGATAAGGGAACATAGTGGTTAAGGTGCCCAGAGAGACTCTTGAAGTGGTGTAAGATGGCAGCAGCATAAATTAGTAAGTGGCTATCACAAGGAAATGTTGTGCTGGATATCTTAGTGGAAAGAATGAAACTTTTCATCTTCAGGAAGGAGATGGATTATAGTCCAAAGGGTATTGTTAGAAGTGTAATGTGAAGAGTAATATAAACACAAAAGATTGGCTGGATCTTAACAAAAGAAGTGTTAAGTTACTGGAGCCAAAGGAAGCCACAGTAATATGACATAATTTCAAAAATGATTATTCTTCTATGCAATTTTTGTGTATCTAAGTGGACTGTTATGGTGGTTTCTCATAATTCTACATTGTTTTTTCAATTCAGAATGAGGTTCATGATGTTTCAGGAAATGTAAGTGCAGTACATCAATTGTAACAAATAATTACCATCAGACAGTTATTGGTTTTTCCTTTTCTGTGGGTGATCCATTGACTTGAGAGCATGCCTATGTCAATGTTCACTTGTTAAACAATCCTTAAGCTTTCTTCTAACTGAGTTTCTTTAATTATCCATCCTACAGGCAAAATTTGCCCTTGAGAGTGCCCATATATACCTGTATCTTGAATAATTGGGAACAGTTTTAAAATTATTTGCCACGGTTCCTGACATGTGAATTGTCACCTTTGATTTAATGCAGAAACCTAGAAGCAAGTATCCTACCATTTTAGACATGCTGATTATTGACAACCCTGTTGTTGCAAACTGTCTGATTGATCAGGTTAGTAAAACCACGGTTATGTACAGTGCAGACTTCTTTAGAGATGTTTCACATGTGGTTTTTCAGCTTTTTGATAGCAGTTGTATTGTCAATTCATTTCCACATTGTTTAGGTGGAAGTGTAGTCCTGGCCCCCTCTCTGAAAATAGCCATCTTTTTCACTTTTATCAGTTACAATTTTACACCATCAAGGGTTTCATTAGCATTTTCCACAGGAAGGCATAACTTTTTGAACTGGACTTCTTCATAAGATAAACTATTCCTCACAACCAGTCAATTTGCCCTGTGCCTGGCCCGTAACGAAACCCCAGCACCATGTTGGGTTTACTCTGCCTACTGACTGAATATGTTTTAATTTCTGTCACTGCAGATCTTTCTCACAAGTCACTGATACTCTCACTTGCAGGTTGCCATAGAGTCAGTTTTACTAATCGAGGACCCCAAAGAAGCACGTCAAGTTATGTTTCAACACCCTCCAGCAAAAGCAAGAATGGTGAGTTTGGATATTCTGTTTTCTTCAGCTCAAACCCCGTCCAAACCAATGGATTTTCGTTCATAAAAGCACCCTTTTTACTACTTAGATGCAACACATGCTTATGTTAACAGTAAGTTTTGTACTGGAAACCTACCTTATTTTGACATGTAAATTTTACAAGTACATCTCTGAGGTGCTAAAGAGAGGATCAGATGACACAAGGCTCAATATATGTCTAGCCTTTCAAGATCAGGATTTTTAAATCTCCAAAAGTAAGGTGAAGGTCTTGCTGGGTACAAAATGAACCCTCTCAAAGCCATATTCAAATCATGAAGAATGTATCATGGAACATTTCAGGCTTATGCAATGAATGGAGATCAACTGTTTGGTGGAAAAACAGCCAGATCATATGCATCCATGATGGATAAAGCCAGATACTTACAGAAGGACATTGAGGTTGAGATCAGGTTGGAGAGCTATTTGTTTAATGTACAAAATGTAAACAACACAGTAAAGTTTTCCATTAAGTGTTGGGGAATATAGGTTTACCCCCCCAAGGAAACACTTTCATTGGTCTTTGTCTGTCCAAGCTGATATGAGGAAAATTTGAAGATGGATTTTGAAGATTCGAGCTAGGTTTTCACTTGTTTGCTCTCACAAGTACAAGTGCAAGCTTAGCAAAATGATCTTAAACACAAATATGCCAGTGGAAGTATGAAGAAAATTTTTCCCTTCTTATTCTTATGCTTAGCCTTGGAGGTAGGTTGTCTTGTCAAGCCATTTAATGAGATGAACCAGAGATGGTTGTGATACTGTGCACAAATACTGTAACCTCTAAATTTTCCAACCCTTGCAGATAGGGGGCTTTGTGGTGATTTCATTGTTTCTTTGTGATTTTTACTTTGTTTTGCTTTCTCAGACAGTTACAGCAGGATCTTCAACACAAACAACAGCACCGTCAGCAGTGTCAAAGAGACTTGGAGGAAGTTGACAAAACAATCAGAGATAATGTGGTGGGTCACTGATCGGTTTAAATAATAATCTTGTAACAAAAAACTGCATTTTAACTGGCCTTATGTAATCACCATCCCTTAGCCTTAATGTGGCATTAATAAACTCTTTGGTGGGTATATACAGTTCTCCAGATGACATATGATATAAGTTTCCCTTGAATTGTAACTTTGTAATTGCACACCCCATTAAGCAGTCAACTGCAGCAATGGAAACTTTTTCAATCTTCACAGAGATGTTTACTGCAAGACTTAAAATTGGATAAACCCATTTGTAGGTGAATGTATCTGTTTTGCCGGATGTAGTAGAACAATTACATTTATGTGCATATTTTTCCTGTTGTGTCACAGAGAGAGCTTCAAAAGGCAAAACAGAAAGCATTTCGTGAGCAAGAATTGGTCAATAAAGCCCTTGGTGTGAGTATGATTTTGAGTAGCTGTTTGCTATTTAAAGATTTCTGAAATTTATTGTTTTAAGATTATTTTTTGCAGCAATTTTAATCAAACAGTTCGCTTGTACTGTGAGGAAAAAACTTCCTTGAGTTTACAAAGGTTTCAATCTAACTCTAGGAAATAAAGGAGCTTGAAAATTATGAAGAAGAGGACCTTCCAGATGTCACAACATTGGTGAGTTGATCCTTTTTCCTTTAAAGTTTTCTTGTTTGGCTTGCTTGAGAGATTTTTTGGCCTAAGTTATCTTGTCAGTTTTGTTTGACTATGATTATTTTCCTGTGGAGTAATAATTGTTTTTCTCTCTTTTTTCTAGGAGGAAGAAGTTGAGCACTAAACTCAGCAGTTGGAAGATCTGACACAACAGGTTATGCTGTGTACTGAGCTCCCATTTGAACCCTCGACAGTGTAATTTTTCCTCATTAAAAATAAATCCAACTTGGACCTTGCATATGCTGCCATTCTGTTAGCTTAAGTTAAGGATGCCTTACAAGAGGTGACACCTCTCATGCCACAACTTTTACAGGTTTACCCTCAACAAGTTTCTGTGGCATTGGAAGGGAAAGCATTTGACAAGTCTACCTCTCAAAGAACCAATATACTCTATTTTGTAGATCATAACAGGTTTTTTCCATTTCAGACTGCTGAAGTTGAAGGAGAGTTAGAAACAGCACACAATGAACTGAACATACAACAACTGAAGGAGGCACAGCACAAGGAGAAAATACAAAATCTGTTAGACAAGGCTGAACCATTAAAGGTCAGTGCACAAGTCATATAAGTTGGACCAAAATTTGTTTCTGAGTTTATCATTTTGGTGATTTTCTACCTTTTTTTTTTGGATTTCTTTGACCCCTAAAAGTGACTAGTATCTACATTGTAACTTTTCTTTACTATATAACCCTGAGTCGCAGATGGAAGTCACGGCAATCAAGGAAATGATCACCAACTAAAGACGCTCTTGATTGTTAAACAAGTTCTCCTTGCCGACTACGCTAAGAAATGTATGGCAAATAGTATGGAGAATTTGCTTACTGATTGTACAGGTTAAGAGGCTGGCTTCATTCTTACAGCAATTTTTAATTGAATGTCAAAAGTAATCCGTGGCTGTTTGGTTTTCATTAATTCATTCCGTTGTTGGTGTAATCAATCAGATACAAGAAGAAAACCAATAATGACTTGGTCACCTGCATTTTTCCGCGTTTGTGATGGTTTTCATGTTTATTTGAGTTCTAATTGGCTAATGATGATTTAAAACCTTGTTTGTGATTGCATTGTGATTACAATGTACTTTGATTATGGTTTTTTCACTGTTAATTGAAAACTGCTCTGCAGGCTGATAACAGAGTCAAGTGAAAAAAAAAAACAAACAAACAAACAAATTTCTTCCTATAATACTTCCAGCCATTAAAGTACGTATAACCAACGCTTGACATTACCCGGGAGATGTCACTTTTTAATGTCTTATTTTTCTTGCACAACTGATAAGACTCAACAACACAATATTGAAGTGGAGATGGAGACGAAGAAGAGTCACAGGAAACACTTTGAAACAAAGGTGAAGGAAATAGAGGATACAATCAGAAAAGCAGAGAGGGAACATGAAAACATGAAGAAACTGGTCAGGGTGAGGATGCCATTAACAACGCTTATTATTCCTAAGTTTGACCCCATTGAAACACATGAACTCCTTCCATTTTATCAGCTCAGTGGCTGTGATTTAGTTTATTTCTGTTTTTTTTTTACTGATTGAAGATGCTGTGAAATAGCAGTCAGCGCCCTAGGCTCCAGAGAGGACATGTTCAAGCGCTGCTTGGGTTATTTTGTTTTACTTTGATCTTGGGCAAGACGGTTTACTTTCATATTGCTCCTCTATACCCGGAAAATGCAACCGTTTCGCTTACGAATCTTTTTGCTAATGACCAGTTCGCCTACGTCTCAACTCTCTTCGCTCCGACGAAGGGCTACCGCTCGAAACGTCAGCTTTTATAATCGTAACGGTGGCCAATTTACCATTTCAACTTTGTTGATATATTCAAATTATTTCGTTACCCCCCNGACACAGAGTCAAATAGGGTAAAAATTCCATCAAAACGGCTCCAAGACATCTGTATATGTTTACAAAACTAGAAATAGTTTTTTATTCTTCAGTTGTAGAAATCTAGAATTCAGGGAAAATTCATAGAAACTGCAATGTTTACAAATACCGGAAGTCACGCATCATACTGACCCGTGATTGGCTTATTTACCGTTTAGTCGCAGGGACTGGTCGCACAAACAGTTCACACGAAGGGACAAACATTTGTTTCATGCGACAAGTCCCTGTGACTGGTCGCACGAATTCAAACCAGTTTGAATTCGTGCGACCAGTCGCAGGAACCAAATTTTGGTCCCTGCGACCACAGAAATGTGTAGTTCACACGAAGGGACTAGTCGCATGAAACTGGTCGCTGGGACTAGCCGCAGGGACTAGTCCCCTCGTGTGTGCCGACCTTTACATTGTCATGTTCTGTAACCATTGATTTCTTCAGCACCAGAGTAGCAAGATTCGATATTTGTTTTAAACCAAGCGTGTAATGACCATTACCACCACTGATGCATTGTAAAAGAGTGCATTTCTGTCTTTTAACTGTTGTTTTATCATTATACAGGTGAAGACTCAAAAAGCCAGCGAGTTTTGTGAGCGGGTTACAACAAGAAGAACAGTGAAAAGTCTGGAAACAGAAATCATTCAAAAAACTAAACGGATACAAACAGAAGAACAAAAGTACGCACACTTTTTAAAACTTGTGTTATGAATGGCACAGTACAGTTTTTGTTCTACCCCTGATTCAAATTAATTCATAATTTGCTTGTAACCTTTGCTCAGAGCAATGTAGAGGTTTAAATTAGTAACAGCAAACTTATAGAGGGAAAGTCCACCAAATGCTAACTTTGACCCGAAGTGGACTGGGGGGTGGGGGAGAGGGGGAACCCTTTCCCTTACTTTTATGCGGAGGTTCATGATATATTTATATATTTTTGTCTTTTCCTTTGTTCCCTCTTAGCAAAGGTAGACACGAGGATATAACAAGAGAATACTTTGAAGCGAAAAAACGGTATGAAGGTATTATGGAGTCACTGAAGAACCTAAAAAAATACAGCAGGGTGAGTTTTTCCTTTCAGTTCATTGTCTGACAATCGATAATGGAGGATAAGGTATGAACCGAATACGAGGGAAGATCCAGTGATTTGAGCTATTGAGCCTTTAAGCACTCTCAACCATCCACCAATTTATCTCGGGTTTAGTTTCTAGATTCTTTTTTTTTTCTTTTCACTCCCAGAAGTGATTAACAAGTAACCTCTCCATATAATATCCATGCATTATCCAGCAAACTTGTATGTAGCTTAATGCATTTTGTACAGTTTTTCCCCTTTTTTCTTCCATATTTCTCGTTAATATAATTTATCAACCTGTAATTCAGCATTCTTTGCAAAAGGTTTGAATAAACAGTATTATTTATTATTTATTTATTTAAACAAGTAACAATAATACTCAAACTTACCAGGTAGAAACTATCATTTTGATCTAATACCAAATTCACGTAACTAATTGACAAGGAAATGTGTAGTAGCTGAAGGGGAGAATTCACAAACACAAAACGTGTTAAGAACATCAGTGATGCGCCTCGTGTGTCACTTGTTCTTTTCACATTATGGCGTTTGACAACCGCCTCCTGGTTAGCTCAATTGGTTAGAGCGCCGGACCGTTGTGCGGGAGGTCGAGGTCGATGGTTCGAGCCCCGGCCGGACCAACACTCAAGGTCTTAAAATAACTGAGGAGAATGCGCTACCTTTCTATAATATCAAGAAATGGATAAACATTCTAGTCTTCTCGGATAAGGACGAATAAACCGTAGGTCCCGTCTCCAGCATCTACTAATTAGTTAATTTGGTTAGGCAGGGGACGTTAAAGAACCCACTCACGAGATTACTGTGATGTGGTATGGCCTGTTTACTGGGAATTGGGGGGTAGGGGGTATCTTCAAATAAGTTTCCTTCGATTGTTTGTAAACTGCTGATACAGTCCGGCCAAAGTCCCCCGAAAAGTGTTGTGATGCGCATTTGATCACATCCACATGTTAATTTACGCAATATAAATATTAAATTATTATTATTATTTTCTGTGATCGATTCCTAAATACGCAGACGGAAACATAGAATCTGTTTGTTAAATGGAGTGGTTCGAATTAATGTTAGCGATATTGGTGTAGCTTTGTAAGGAAAAGTAGTCAGTCGTATGTTAGTATTTGAATATTTATCATATTACTTTGCTTCCATGCATGTAGCGCCTGAAGATGGTCATGGAGCAAAGAGCTAAGGCATTCATAAATTACCGGCATTACATCGCTATTCGTGCTAAGTTCTTCTTCACGATGATGCTCTCTCAGAGAGGCTACAGCGGCAAGATGGTTTTTGATCATGCAAATGAATCCCTTAGCCTTCAGGTGGGTTACTTTGTAAGATTTTGTAATTTTCCACCCGTATTTTCTTGTACTTTTAATACAAGGTTTTTTATATGGAGGTTTATGCCTTGCTGTAAGAGCCTTGCATGAAAGGGCCGAGGAATGATGGGCTGATCGTCATTTGAGACGAGAGAACACACTGAAGCGGGGAACTCAACCAACAAACAAAAACTAACACTGTGTGAATGCGTCAGCACAATTTCTATGGGAGTAATAGGGTCAGTCACAACATCACTGCAAAACTGACCAAACAATTTTCGGTCCACACATTTTGATTAACTTCCAATGGAGTGACAAAAGTAGTCCAGGACTGCTTTGGTTTTACTTAACTTTGCTCTGTGATTGGTCCAGGAAATTCACGCCATTCTATCTACCAATCAGCTGCAAAACTAAAACAATGGCGAGTTTGTCATTCGCGTTTTCCTGCGCCTTAAGCAGCTTGAGTTCTCACTGGCTACGATAATGTAAACCTTTGTTCTGATTGGTCGCTGGAATTACTCTGGTTTCGGTTTTCTACACTCGACTGAAAACTGCTGTAACACTTTATTTCAAAACAACTATGTAATAGACAAAGCCCCCGACAATAACCTTCTGCTCAGCCGGACAATGATAGTATGATCAGATTAACCAGAAAACACGAGCAGTCGTTTCTGTTAGCTTTATGGTAGTAAAACCGGGTTAAGATAAGGAATTTGTTCAGCATTTGGCTTCAGAATACTCAAAATTTTTTCAATTGTTTTAGGTTAATGTTGAACAGGGCATCAAACGGGTCGCCAAAGATACCCGTTCATTATCTGGAGGAGAGCGATCGTTTTCCACGGTTTCATTTATCATGGCTCTATGGGAAGCAATGGAGTCGCCTTTTCGATGTCTGGACGAATTTGATGTCTTTATGGTGGGTGATTTAGCAGGCGAATGGTTCGTTCCCTATTTTTTGCGTAAAATAAAATCAAGGTCATTCTCTTCAGTAACCTTCCCCACAAAGGCTATCATGGAGAGGGAGTAAAGTGGTCAAAGTCAGTTATCAAAATGCTGTGGATGTTTGCGAAACATCCACTGACCAGTTTACAACTCGCACTTGAACATGTAGTTCAAATGTTTAAACGCAGAATTTTCCCCAAATAGAGTATTTTGTTTCTTCCTCGCAGTACAAGGAAATGATTGGAAAAATCTCAATGCTTCTGTAATTCTCATTACCCTTCTTTCCTGACCTCCAGGACATGGTAAACAGACGGATTAGCATGGAAATGATGTTAAAGGTGGCCAAAGAACAACAAGAAAAACAGTTCATTCTTCTAACACCCCAGGATATGAGGTAGGATGTCTGCAACATTCAGTTTTTTTAACAAATACTATTTAATCCTTTAACCGTTTCAAAGGTAGTTCTCAGAAAATCAGTCTTCGTTGTCTCACCGAAACCAGTTAGTCATACATTATGAATGCGTCAGTTGACGTTTTCTTACAGGTCCTAATTTTCATTTCTTCAAGTGCCATCGGAAGCTGCAGAAAAGTAAAAATTTTCAGACTTCTTGATCCTGAAAGAGGACAGACCACATTACACTTTCAGCCTGCCGATGCTTGAAATTAATGTAGCATCCCTACATAGTTACTGCAATAATGTTACGGTTTCTTTCCTCTCGCAAATTGCCAATCAGTTACATTGTCAGAAGAATGGAAAGCCCACAATTTCTGACAGTTGATGTTTCTTTTTCGATCCTAAGTTGTATAATGATACGATCGTCTTCTGTTGTTTCAAGGTTCTTTTGCAGCAAAAAGTCGCCTTCTGAAATGGTAGTTACTATGAATACTAGTAATTTGTAAATGACATTTTATCAATAGTCTGTGGTAGATGTCAGTGCTTGTGATAAATTTATCAAAGTTCAATATATTTTTATTCAGACTTTACTTGTACAGTATTTTAAATGAAAATACACATGCAATAGTTAAGAGATGAAGATATTTTTGCCATACTTTATAATGAGGAACCAGGCCACTGTGATTTATCGAATGTTGTTGTTTTGTTGGGAATTTTAATAGTCAAGAGAGATTTCTAACTATCTAATCTACAAAATGAACGACTAATGCATTAAACAGTTGTGAACAGGTCTCCTGAGTGACTTGGTTTTTCGTTACGATAAAATACTGTATGTGTACTAATAAATGAAGGGGGTGAGTTTCTAAAGGTGCAGCGTCAGTGGGGGTTTTGCAAGATATTTTGTTTTATTAACTTAGTTGATATTGTAAATTGGCCACCGCAGAGTTTCTAAATCTGACGTTTCGAGCGTGAGCCCTTCCTCAGGGCTAACGTTCAAAACGTTAACTTTAAAAACTCTTTACGGTGGCCAATTTACAATTTTAACTCAGTCGATAAAAACCAAAGTAACGTTTGTGCATTAGTCTGTGGAGGAGGGGGAGGTCGGGAAACACGATTCACTTTCACCTCCTCATTCTCTTTCACGCCGACCACCGAGGATACTTGTACGCTTCTTGCACACGCCTTCTTCCCCTCCCCCCTCCTCACCGCTGACACCACCAGATTATTCTTCCACTCTCCTAACTGACTCCCCAGGCATAAAATACACTTCCATTGCCGTTTCTCCCCCAGGGAACGCATTTTGGTTAGAAGAATCTGTCAAAAGGCAAAAAACGAAAGGCAGCGCACGGTATTACACGATTACTTATCGCACGGTAAAAACGTCTTCGGCTGGGGCCGCGATTCCAAAGGAAAAGAAACGAACTGGGCCCCAGGGATATCTTTGAAACTGCTTCTGCTTTGACTTAATCATTGACCTAGCTATTTCCCTTTTTTCAAATATATTTTCTCACGAAATAAATTATATGAGAAAATTACGTTAGATTTAATAACATTAACCTACTTTCATTAAGTAAACCTGAGTGATGTCAAGCAATTGGTATCAGTTAAAGTTCATCTTTTTCCTCGTCATGGGGAGAATAGTTTGATTCCATTTGATCTTCCATTTGATCTTCAATCATATCTTCAATCCTGGCCAATTCATTTTCAACAAAACTCTCCACCTATCAAAATATGGGGAAATGATATAAACGTCATGCAATAAACTAATGGCTAGATGTCAATTTGATGGACTTCCCAGAAATTCAGAAGGAAAAGGAAAACTTGTCCTTATTCCAATTTATTTAAGAAACATTCCAGTTAACGAGGCAAACATTACTGCAAGAAATGAGAATATTGGAATTATTTAGAACTGGAATACTAGCTTGAAATGATACTTAGGTCAAGGACAGGTAATGTTGACAAAGTTGGGAAAAAAAATTAAACTTACTGAATTATTCTCCAATAGTTTGACATCATGTTTTGAAAAAAAGCCATCCTTGTCGTTGTCTAATGCTTGGAATATCTGAGAAGAGAGATAGTTGATTATTGCCTGTAACAGAAACATTTTCCATGACAAAGCAGAGACAAAAATGCTTGATTTGAAACTGGGGGTTACTAATCTAACAACAAAAGAAGACAGTTCACCCCCTTATAAACAAGTGCCATTATTACCACTAAATGCGGTCAAATGACAGACTACCCTCTCTAAAATGTTCCTTTTTGCGGGCCAAACAGCAAACTGCATGCTGTAAATGGCATTTGCCATCCTGATATATATGTTATTGAATGAATTTGTACGATTTGGCCTTGTGTATTGATAATGATAATCACAAGGCGTTTGGAGGGCGTAAAGTTTATTTGTGTCCCTTGTAGCATTATTTACACCCTCACTCTGCTCAGGTGCAAATGATGCTACTTGGGCCACAAATAAACTATATGCCCTCCAGAAGTCATGTCAGTGATTGTCCTATTTACACCCAAAAGTGACAATTTGGCCCTTACCCCTTTCCACCCTTAAATGAAAATTGATATTCAATACAATCTTTTCTCCACATTTTCCATGGTATTGACAAGCAGAATTTGTTTGAGAATTGATTCAAGGGTCAGACACTGTGAGGAGAAATTAGAAGCTAGTCACTCTAAGGAGTTCAGTAAAGGGTAGGGTTATTTATTTATTTCAAGATTTGTACATATAGAATAAATACAGGTGTTAGAACAAAAGGATATAGCTTCCCTTACCCAAACACCTTACCCAACCCCATAAACCTAAAAACAAAACATATATATGATTAAATAAAAGCATCTTAACAAGAAAGGGTTAATGCCTTTACAGTTTTTTTTATTTTTTCAGTTGATACTGACTGATTGGCAAGGTCTCACTCATCGCATGAATAAACCTTGGCTAAACAGCATTTTACTACGATTGGCAGTAATGTCTCAATCTGATTGGCCAATTTGCCATTGATAATAACCCTGCTCACATGAACATGTCATGCAATGGTCAAACAGGGAAATAACCATTTTATTTGACATCAATATTATGAAAAAAACAAATGGACAAAAAGATATTCATCATCACAGTGGTCAAAATTTGTTGCAGTCTCACTCCACTTTGC